AAGAAGAAAACAAAGGAAAAAATATTGAATCGATTATCAGGAATCTAAAGCAAACATATATGTTTACATTCTGGAAGCTAGCATATAACATTAACAAGTCTCTTAACGAAAGACAGTCCTATAAACAGTTTACGTACGTGCATTATTCAATAGACGGCTATTAAGACGTAATTTGAGCGAAGCCGAACGGCTTATGGGTCCAAATTAAATTCGGCTTCAGCAGACAATTTTCGGGCTGTCTTTTTTTCTCAGATAACCGTATTTTGTGTAAGTCTATATATATCTATCTAATTATTGCAATAGGCAGAGAGTTGTGGCTAGATTAAGGGTTTAACAACTTCTTCAGTTTTGTGTCATGGACCCGGAACTGCATGTGAAATACGTCACAACTTAAAAGCACTATGTTGGCGCATCAAACGAGTCAGGGAGACAGTCGCTTGTCGCTAAAAGCTTTTAAACAGTAGTCAATGGCATTTGAGTTGAAAGCATTCTAACATTGCTGTCTGTTGCTCTGGAGTAGCACTACAACAACGGAAACAAGCTAACCTAGCTATCCATTTCATTTTATTATATCTAACTTTGAAATAAAATTGATTAAGAGTTGAGTGGGAATTCTTTGAAATCATTTCAAAGAATTCTCACTCAACTCTTAGGCTTTTCTTGTAGAAACTATACTTATATATCTTTTCTTGTGTAGAAACTTAGAGATTATTCATTTGTTTTTCGTGATATTCCAACTGTGGAAAAGTTGAATGGGAATTCTTTCTTTGTAGCAATATAAGTATGCTTAGTAGCAAGATTTTCGCTCTGCATGACATCTATGAAATACTGTAGTACAGTGAAATTCTCTATAGAGCGGACGTGTGAATGTTACGTCATTGCCCCCATCTTGGTTGACGATAGCGAAGGATTCCTTGTTAGATCAACCAAGATGGCGGCTGTTGCATTGTTATTCATGTTCATGGTTGCACACACTATTCTTCGATTGCACGTTACGTCATCGCGGCCATGTTGGTGCCATTTAACAAAAGATTTCTCATTAGCATCCATTGTTAACGACACCACAATGGCCGCCATGTTTTTGTCTTTTGACTCTCTTGGGATTGCTTGCAACCCATCAATTGCATGCAATTCGTGATGTTTTTAGGTTTGACCGACATTTTAAATGGAAACTCTATTTATAGACAGATATACTGAAGTCTTGTGTAGAAATACTTAATTATCAATTCATGCAATTCATAGTAAAGAAAACCTCTCTATTTCATTTGATGATATTTTGATATATTTTTCCAACTATCTCTCGAGCACAGTCAACTTATTGGGATTAATTGGACCGGCGACAGAGAATTTCATTGATAAAGCCTCATAATCTCACCGGAATGAGATGCCTTGTCAGTATTATCAGATTCGTTACATTTTTAGCGGTTAAATCATCTGCAAAATGGTCGTTAGCTTTCCGGTAAGAGTTGATTAAAAAGTACTTAATAACCTTTAATATGTCCGAGGGGAAAAAAGGGCTCTTTAGTATCTCTCAACAACTCGAGAGAACATTCGCGAAAGCTCATATATAGTAGACTTTTTTACATACTAACTTTCTTCTGATGGCTGGACCACATTTTAAAAGTCCTACGACGATTTACACCTATTTCAAAAAACGTTGTCGGTCGKAGATCTGAAACCTGAGACCGAAAGAAATTATTATGGGTTGTAAGCAGTAGTTTTCAAAAAGGTAATATTTAAATATGGCTACATTGAGCGATGACCTGCGCTAATGAGTTGTCTGACTAAAGTCGCGATTACATTTAGAAATTTTCTCTGCAACTTGTCTCGCAAGAGCGTTGCGACACAAGTTTCAAGAGTGTCTACACGGTGCGCAACAGAGACGTAAACGTTGCCAAAAGTAGAAGGAACGAATTCTACTTTTCGCAGCGATTGCTGAGACTTGTCTCACAACATTTTTTTCAAATTGCGCTGTAGATTACACGCTGCAATGCTCCATACAACTCAGTGTTGCAACGCCGTTGCGAGACAAGTTGCAGAGAAAATTGCTCCGCGTAATCGCGCCTTAAGTGTATTTTGATTTTTTAACGAGAATACTCCAAGTCCCCACGATTCCACTCGGTATAGACTTAGATTTCTGAGATCTCCGACCGACAACGTTTTTTTTAAATAGGTGTATACACTTATTATTTCAATAAACGTTGTCATCGCCAGGTGATAGGTCATTCCGACATGGAAATGGTTTCGTTGAATACAAAGAACATTGAATCAGTCTCAACACTAAGGTCCATGTTCTTGACGAGAATAAGAAGCAGAAACATTATTCATTACAACACCTTTGTATCAGCAATATTAGTGGTGTCGTTATAAAAATATCACTGACATAAACCGGTGAAAGCCAAAGAAAACAATAATAAGTGTGCAAACCATTTACCCTTTTCTTCATTCTATATCTCATTCTTACAGAATTTTCTCTCATTCTTAAGTTTTTCATCTAGTCGGGTTTCAAAAGTCAAATTAATTAAAGTCTCAAAATATCACTTGAAAAATTAGTTAATCGGAATAGCGTTTGCAGGTGACACCCCTATGCATTAATTATTTTCAATATTTTGTTGTCCTCTTTTTTTCCATTACACAGTACGGACAGTACGTATGTTCAGCCGATATAGGATGCATGCGATATACTTAGAAGCAAACAAGGTAGACCAACTTGTAATAAATTAATCAAACTTAAACTGCCCATTGAGACGAATCGATGTCTAAGATTTAAGAAAATATGGCGGGTTCAGTAATATTTTTTCAGGGTATTGAAACACTTAGTTATCTAGAAAGTTTCGTGAATTAGATGATCATTGCAAGTTTGTTTGTTCGTATGTTTTCTTGCGTGGTGCTAACCTTGAACATTGAGATTTCGTCAAGTTGTGGCCCCTCGGTCCTTTTTGACAGTAAAATAATAGTTTTGCCATACTTACTAGCTTAAATTAAGAGAAATCTTTACTTGTTTATAACCAAGACGGCAGCAGAAAACCTGGATGACTCCGGGGATTTCCCACGACGATCGAATCTTAGCTTGAAAATTTCACATTTATGTAGAAAGGAAGCTACAAGAGTATATTTAACACCATCTGTTTTCGTTCGTCGTCATACACCTAGTACAAACGCCGTCAAATGGTTTGCTTATTGCTTCAAAATTATATAAATGAAGTGTTTGATTGACGGCAGCAACGACAACACTACAAACATCGATTCGATTTCGCTTTACATTGGCTTCAACACTCCGAAGGGGAAATGAATATATAAACGAAGACAAGGGCACAAGGTGGAATATATGATACTCCGACCTACTAAATGCTCATGATCAGTTTTACCCAAGAATTTTGAGTTAGGATTTTTATTGCGGAGGAAGATATTTTCCACATTTAACGATGCATTAAAAATGAAAATGAAATGACTACATCACACCTCGGTGTCTATATTTTAACTAAACAATAGACAGGGATAGAATAGGAAGAAATATAGGAAGGAAAAAAAATGAAAAATGAATGGGACTAAATTGATAGCTCGAATGTGAAAATTAATATGAGAATAAATATTCCATGTTAAACCAGACTTGAGAAGAGAATATACTTTGACTTTTCTGGGTCATAAAGTCGACAATCAAATACCATATATTGATAAAGTAAAACTTAATCAAAGGCTCCGTTAAATATTTGGAAGCGATAACAAGGCATGATACCCGAAGGCACAAATAAAAGGGTAGAAATATGAAGAAAGGATTCGAATATAACACGGTGTTAATCTTCCAGCTAAAAGTCTACTTTATTTATATGTAAAAACTAATTGTATTTTTCAATGCTTTTTTTTCTTTTTGATTTATCAGTATTGGTCCAAAACAGGAAAATTCGAATCAACATATAATACGTAATTTTTGATAATCTTTGCTGTATGGATCTGTGTAAAATCTTGATTTTAGTAGCAAGGCGAATCAACATATCTCCTTTTCCTACTCTTAGCATCGAGAAATAACTTTGAATGCGCTCTGATAAAAAGGTACTTTCTTCTGTTAAGTTATATACCGTTGTCGTAAAAGGAAAAGAAAAAAAAATCATCGCGAGGATTAATTTGCACATCCTTTTCAGGTCAAGTTCACTGTACCACCTTTGTCAGCTTGCTTTTTTCGTTTGTTGACTTCTTTCTTTCCTTTCATTTTTCATTTCAGGTTGGATTTTGCTGGTACAGTTTACTTAGTACTTTTCCGTCATCTATAACAGGCACTGCCTCCCTGCTTACCTCGTTTTGGAAGCGAATTTACTTTCAGTCGCTGTTGATGTTTGTCAGCCAAGCATCGGATTAGATTCTGAAGTTTATTATCACTGTACCGACTGTGGATCGAGATATTGATTCTTCTAGAGCCAAACACACGTTTATTGATCCTACAACACCTGTTCAGCAAAGCGCGTATTACGTAAGATTAAATTGCTAGTAGATTGAAATCAATTTACATAACACTTTCAAAGCTCCGGTTCGAGGTTGTTGTTTTGAGTTTTTGCTTTCTGACTTTTAAACTAAGTGTGGATTTTAATGAATTGTCATTTTAAATTTGGAAACTGCTAGTAAAACAAGGCTTTTTAAACTGACGGCTACATTACGAGGACTGCTCCATCAAACAGCTCGGCGCGGATGTTGACGATTTTCAAACTTTTAAAGGAAGGCATGTCTTAAATTGGGGGGGAGGGGAGGGGGGGAGGGATGGAGATTTATCAAAAATTTCAATAAAATCATTGAAACGTTCTGACCCGTACTTGGAGCTCACTGTACACCAATTCAACGGATTTCTTTCGGCAACCGACCCGATCTCACGCCGGAAGTCTTCGTATCGTAAATGCGGGTTGGATTTGGATATAGTCTTTCTTCGAAATTATGGTGACTGTATTTTTTAACGGCCTAAGATACAAAAGTATTTAACTTATAATTTATAACTTTATAATCTTTCTTCGAAATTATGGTGAGTGTATTTTTTAACGGCCTAAGATACAAAAGTATTTCTTCCGGCGTGACCTGGTGGGGGAAAAAAATCTTAAAACGGGCTAAATTCAAAAATAACCACGCAGAGCGAAAGAAGTGCTATTTCTCAATGATCGGGTAAAATTTCGAGGCTTTATTTCACGTTTCAATGATTTTATTGAAATTTTTGATGAATCTCCTTACATTTCCTTATAACAGGACACCACAGAAACCAAGCTTGGGCTACCTGTGCACCAATTTGCACAAATTAGTAAAGCTCAGGGCCCAGTTCCGCCAGTTGTTCAAAGCCCGATTAGTGCTAATCCTGGGTTAGAGTTAATCCTATTTGCGCTAACCCAGCTTTGAACAACCGGGCCCAGTAGACCTCAAAAGACAGTAGATAACTTTTTCAATTCACGGTATATTGTATGCACTCTATTAAAATCGCTTTAACTTTAGCTGCCTCCAAAATGGACATGTTCGCTTCGTCTGACGTACAATTTATTGGCTATCAGACTTCCACTTCATTTTGATTTACCGATTGTTATCGGAAGGTTAGTAATCCTTTTGTTATATTAATCATTATCACTCAAAAATTAGCATACTTTGTCCAGCTGAACTGTAACCATAGGAACAGGTTGTTCTAATCTTACACTCCCTCCCCTCCCTAGGGCTTTTTTATTGTTGTTTCCTTATTGCTTTCAAAATGGCGAGTCGTCAGGCGTTCCCTGGGTGGACTCCCTTTGCTCGTCTTTTCTCCTTCAGATTGGTATGTTTGCTCAACAATTGAAATTATTCGCTATCTTGTATCATTTCTCAGATCAGTGGATTGAGTTTTGGGAAATTTTGCCAAGTAATTTGGCGCGATTTCTGGAAATTACCCGTGGCATTCGTCAACACAGAGCAATCGAAGGCTGACCAGTTTATTATGCAAATATGATGTCATATGAAAGTCGTGTAAAATACTCCCCGATAATGCTTTTAACGACTCAGTATTTTTTCACAGGCTTCCTGTATTTTATATCCGTTGTTTTTATTTCTTTTTAGGTGCATCGCAGTAGCGGACCGGTTAGAAAATTCATTCACACTGACGCGGTTCTCCTTCAGCAAGATGACGCTGGAAACGGTACAAAGCTTGGCTTTTTGTTAATAAACAATATTGGTTCCTAATTAGCTTCATTCAGATTCAATGGCTTTCATACAGAAGAAATATTGCCTTTCCTTGAAAAATAAGAAATTAAGATTCAGAAGGATTTTCTTTGAAGCTCAAAAATCAACTCCAAGCTTACGACTAGCTTATTAATTAAATACAAGTTCTCATTTGAAATAATAATTTAGCCGGTAAATTAAAAGTCTTCCGAGATAACAGCACAATTGTGCTGGTACTTATTCTAAATCCTATCCTTTTTATTTTCTGAAGGAGTAGAAAATATTTCAGTGGGAGACAGAAATGGCTTTCCTGTTTTGACTGTTCCATTGCCATCTCGAAGAGAGCTTTGTGAATTTACTCTTCGTCCACTCAGTGAAACTGTTAAAGATTTGATGGATGACATCAAAGATGAAGATGGCGGCATCGATCGAGTTGCTGTTTATAATGAAGATGGTGTTCGCATATCTGGAAGTACTAGGCTAGATGTTTTACTGCGTTCAAATTTTAAGCTAGTTGTCAATGAAACTGCATACTCTATACAAGTACCAGATGATGGTAAGTAGCTGTCAATATGCAAACTCTAGATAGATGACTAGATAGACTAGATAGATGAATATATACACTTTATTTTTCCCTTAGGGACCGATCATTTTTTAGCTGGGAGGGGGGCTGGTGGAAAACAGGGAACAAGGGCAGCCCCTACCTCATAACTTTTWAAAAAAAGCTTATTCCAACTATTTGATTTTTTTTGGATGGCACCCCCTTTCTAACTATTTGATTTTTTTGGATGCCCCCCCTTTCATCAATGCCTTATTTTGCCTACCCCCCTCCCCTTTGGAGCCTAAAATTTTTGAATGCCCCCCCCCCAATTCCACTAGCCACCCCTCCCAGCTAAAATATAATCGGTCCCTTACAGGCCTAGACTAGGGCCTGCATGGGGAATTTAGAATAGGGGTTGGAATGGTAGATCATAGCATGCATGCAGACCAAATTTAATAATAGTAGTAGCACGCAGGCTAGGCAGACCAAGGCAGTTGTGATTTCTTTATCATCTTTCTAGTGCTGCCAATATTACACCATGTAATATAGACTTGCTGTGCTTCAATCATGTGTTGTAAAAAACTTGTCCATGTGGTACGACATTGGTACTATTCTTGAGGTCACCCATACCACACCATGCCACTACCACCGTAAATGAACCATGTCGACAGTGAAATGTTTTGGGTGGTAGGTAGGGAGGTAGGATTTCTTTGGGACTTATGTACCCTTTGATTGGGTGTGCTGACGACCATACATGGTTTATGGGTGTGGTACTCATTTTCATAGTCAGAATATCCCATGCCACCTACACCATAGGTGAATCACGTCGACAGTAGTTTTAGGTGGGTAAATATTTTATGGAGCAGATATTTTGGGTGTGGCTATGGTAAAAATTATGGATGGGTCTGGTGCTCAATCCTGAGATCATGCACAGATATAATTCTCTGTGAAATCTCAGCCACTTTAAGAAGCAAACCTTTAGTTCTAGTCAGTCAATATATAGATGGATTATGGGATTGTGTGGGGTTCCCTGAAGGAACATGTACAATAAGCAGCTAGTTAGTCTAAATACCAAGTATATTTTTCTATACTCTTAGGCAAATTAACTGTTGAGGAATCCAGAGCACTGGCTAAAACCAAGACTATGATTCACCAACTATATAGTTCTTTGAACATTGAAGAACATCAGGTACAGACAAAGGTCTATTTATGTTCAACTGATTGTATACAACTTACTAACTAACACTGTCTATCTGCCTCCATTGAAAATTAAGCCAATCAGAATGCAAGAAAGCACCCCTATCCCTTCCCATAAGGCCTTGGGGTGTTTTGAATTTCTTGACTAATATGCCAGGGGTTTTTTCAATGATTTGAGATAAAATAGTAATTCAATATTTCAAGAAGGCCTCTGATAGAGTCTAGGAAATTCAAGTCACTCGTGGTATATTCCATGGTATACAACTCGAAAGCATTGCATAACTAAGTCTTCATATAAGGCTTTAAATTTCAGTGACTGTACAAAAAGAGTGTCTGCTTTTTTAAGGACCATTCAAGGACTTTTTTCTTGCTTTTATAACTAGATACATCTATTTTTTCCTTTATGTTTTAGCTTGAAAAAGAAAGAAAACTTCTGGCCAAACTAGATGACATAAAGCTTGAACTAGAACCAATGGAAAAGCTAAAGACAGACCTGAACAGGAAGTCTGCGCAGCGAGCTAACATGCTCGTGTGGGGAGGGTTGGGTTACATGGCTTTACAGTTTGGGTTTCTTGCACGATTGACGTGGTGGGAGTACTCATGGGACATCATGGAACCTGTCACTTATTTCGTTGGTTATGGGACTGCAATTGTCTGTTATGCTTATTTTGTTTTAACTAGACAGGTAAGCACTCTTGAGTGTCTCTGTAGGGACAGATGGACATGCTAAAGACTAACATAAAGACAGACTATAGTTAACTGTTAACTACAGACAGACAGACATTTAGACATACAGACCAACAGATAAACAGACAGACAGACAGAAAAAAGGAGCAAAACATGTCTCTAATTAGTTTGCTTGTATCTTCAGGAATTTTTATATCCAGACGCCAGAGACAGGCAACAGCTTCTTTCATTTCACAAGTTTTCCAAGAAAAACCAATTTGATGTAGAAAAGTACAACCATTTGAAGGACTGTATTTCCAAGATTGAAGAGGACCTGCAGGAGCTACGCAGCCCTTACAAGCTCCACCTACCACCAAGAGTCACTGAGAAAATCAAGGATCATTGATATAACAGTGAAAAATTATTTTATATTAATTATCCATTAATACGATTAATGTTAAAACCCAATTGGAGTTTCRCATTAGGAGGTATGGGATCCTGAACAATCAATATATGTACCAAGGAACTAGTAAGTGATGTTTCCCAACATCTATAAGTTATCATTTCCATGGAGTTATACTCTTTTTAATAATTTAAAGCCACAGTCGCTTAAAAAGATACGAAGTTGAAGCTGACAAGAAATATGATCAGAGTATATACTACCTTTTACATGTTTTAAGTGCCATTGATAAGTATTGATGGACTTGCGATTTTATGCCAACCCCAGTTCCACCTGCCGACTTATAATTAATTTTATTATATGGCAAGGTAATTTCGCGCGCTATGATTGGTCAATTTGCGGTCCATAACTTACGGTACGGACCGAAAAATGAAATGGTTCACTGAGTGTACGTACTTATGATCTTTTAAAACATTCAAATCTTTATCAAAAATATATATTTCTAGATGAAAATCGTCGGAAAACCTTCAATAAATAATTAAAGATAACTGAAAGGCACTGGCATTTAATGTAAAACTTATCAAACAAGCCACAACTCTTTCATACAAGCGAAACTCTTTCGATCAAGGCTCTACACGGTAGTAGTTGAGCGATTTTGTACGACTAGAAAAAACTAGAAAAACTAACTATGCTAAAGCTAAAACTATGTCAAACKACGAACTAAAGGGTGGTGATTAGCGGCTAATTCAGTAAATGAAATAAAGATAGGTTTACAAGCAGAATTAACGTAAATTTGTTATTTCAGT